ATTGTTGTCCGATCGCATAACAAGCTCCAGTCCTTATATGGGAAGGGGTCGTGGCAGACCTACTATGATATGTGGATATTGTCAGAAGATAGGTCATACCATGGGCAAGTTTTTCCTTTTTGATCAAAAGTTAAGAGGAGTGTCAGGGACACGCCAAAAGATTGAAACAGAGACAAAATATTTTAATTGTGGGAGAGTTGGCCATTTTGCGAGAAATTGTCCTGAGCCTTGGAGGCCAAAAAAGTACTTCATAAAACTAGAGATACAAGGGGGGTTTCAGTCCTTCCTAAAAATGCTCCTGCTCCTAGTCAAGATAGTAGAGATGTTGTTAAGATCTTATCCCTGGGGGATAGTGAAGGGATGTTGTTATTTGATGTTTATCTTGGGGAGAAGTGTATTACAGCACTAATCAACACAGGAGCAGAAGTTTCTTTAGTACATAGTGATGTGCTGAAAGAGTTAAGTATGCCCTATAAGCAGGTTCATTGGGGGGATGGGTCCTTCCTAAACCACAGAGGGGAGATAAATCTTACTTTTAAGGTAGGTAAGATAAAGACTTCATTTGTGTTTTTGGTGGTGGATACCTGGGGTTTACCATGCCAGATGCTGATAGGAAACGATTTTGCGGACACCTATAGGGTTGTATATACATCATGCCCCACTACCTTGTCCATTAATGGTCAGGATGTGAAGGTTGAGCGTAGTAATAAAAGATCTGTCGCTTCCATGGCAACCGTAGGTCTGAAGGGACGCTGGAGGACCAAGACGGGGAAAGCTACAGGGGCCCCTGTGAAGTTTTCCCGCCTGGGAGAGGTGGATTTAAATTATGCTACGGATGTGTGCTCTATAAATGAGGTTGCTATCGACAATAACGAGGTTATTAATGAGAGAATTACTTTAGGTAATAGCGGGGCTATAAATGAGGTTGCTATAGACAATAACGAGGTTATTAATGAGAGAATTACTATAGGTAATAGCGGGGCTATAAATGAGGTTGCTATAAACAATAACGAGGTTATTAATGAGAGAATTACTATAGGTAATAGCGGGGCTATAAATGAGGTTGCTATAGACAATAACGAGGTTATTAATGAGAGAATTACTTTAGGTAATAGCGGGGCTATAAATGAGGTTGCTATAAACAATAACGAGGTTATTAATGAGAGAATTACTTTAGGTAATAGCGGGGCTATAAATGAGGTTGCTATAGACAATAACGAGGTTATTAATGAGAGAATTACTTTAGGTAATAGCGGGGCTATAAATGAGGTTGCTATAGACAATAACGGGGTTATGAATGAGAAGATTACATTAAATAATGGCGGGGCTATTGATGAGATGACAAGAGATAGTGGCGGGGCTACTGATGCTCATGTTTTTCCAGTAGAGGATCTAATTGTAGATGCAGATTCGTGTGGATCTTTTTGTGTTTTAGTCAGGGACATTAGTATGAATGGGTCAAATATGTTATTTATTCCTCGAAAGGATTTAGAGATAAGCTTAATAGAAGGCATAGTCACTCCTATTCCGTCATCAGATGGTGCCACGAGGTGGTTTAGGATACCATTTAAAAACGACGGGAATAGAGTTGTAGAAGTTGGGCAGAATACGAGTGTGGGAGCACTCATGAAACTAGTAGACATATCTCCTGGTGAAGCCAGAAGGCAGGTAGTAGCCAGTGTTAAGAGTAACAGGAATAAAACTTGTAGATTATTAGAGGAAGTAGACAAGATATTTGAACGAGGTTCAGAAGAGCACAGGGTGCTGATAGACTTGGTTTTGGAATTCCCAAGGGTTTTTAGTCTTGAAGAGGATCCTTTACCGATTTCGAATGAATACTTTCACGAAATAAAGGCTCTGGGTCCTCCAGTTTACAAGAAACCCTATCCCATCCTGTTGAAATACAGAGACGAGATTAAGGCTCAGATTGACTCTATGTTGAGGGACGGGATTATACAACCCTCACGTTCTCCTTACAATGCACCATTGGTACCAGTGCGAAAGAGAGATGGGGGGTTGCGATTATGTCTTGATTTCAGAGCACTTAATGAATGTATTGAGGATGACCGATACCCACTGCCAAACATAGATTCTATACTGCAAAGGCTAGGCAAGAGTCGTTTCTTCTCGTGTTTGGACCTCAGGCAGGGTTATCACCAGATACCCCTGACCCCCGCTAGTCGAGAGAAAACGGCTTTTTCCACAATGGACGGCCACTACGAATTTATGAGGTTGCCTTTTGGGTTGAAGGACGCCCCTGCTGCTTTCCAGAGGATCATTAATCAGGTCCTGTCTGGTCTGATTGGGGATGTGGGTTTTGTCTATCTAGACGACATTGTAGTTTTGGGAGACACGTGGGAGACTCACTGTAATAATGTGAGACGAATCTTAGGTCGTCTTCAGCAGAATAATCTCTCTCTCAAACTTACTAAATGTTCGTTTTTTAAGTCAGAAGTTGAATACCTTGGACATGTGATTAGTGAAAATGGTATTAAGCCACAAAAGAAGAAGGTTGATGCAATGGAGGGATACCCTCAACCAATAATTTTGAAAGAGCTCCAGGCGTTTCTCGGTGCGACAAACTACTATCGCAAATTTATAAGTAATTTTGCAGATATATCGCGACCGTTAATTGACTTAACCAGAGGCTGTAAGACTAAGGATGGGAAAACGAAACTAACGTGGACACAAGAAGCATTGGATGCATTTCACAAGTTGCGTACAGTTTTGTCTGAGGATATAGTGTTAAAATTCCCAGACTTTTCCCGTCCATTTGTATTAGTTACAGATGCAAGTAAAACAGCCATTGGGGGAGCTCTCCAACAGGAGGATAATAATGGAACCCTTAGACCACTGTCTTACTTCAGTCGACAGTTAAAGGGTGCCGAGTTAAATTATTCTACTGTAGAACGAGAGGCATTGGCGATAGTATATGGACTAAAGATAAACAGGACACTGATTCAAGGTTTTCCAGTAATTGTTCATTCAGACCATAGGCCTCTTCGTTATCTTTTTTCTAGTAGAGATGGAAATGAAAGACTAGCCAGGTGGCGTATGTCGGTAGCAGAGTTTGATATTTGTGTAGAATACTTGCCGGGCAAAGACAATTATTTAGCAGATGCGCTGTCGCGAATCAGAGCAGCTGATCAGCCGATAGATGATTTAGTTGTAGGTGTTGTTACTCGCCGAGCTGCTACATCATATAAAAGGATAAATCGGTTTGATGGTCAGAAGTCAAATATGGTAGATAGCAGTGACAATAGTTCACCGGAGACCATTGACTTATGGGGACTAGATAGTTTACGAAATGCACAAGATGAAGACCCACTATGGGGTCGTGTTAAAGAATATTTACGAGGTGAATGTGACCTCACTAAAGATGAGTTTAAAGGAATTTCTGGGAAGATCGAGAATTATCAGGTACGACCAGATGGGATCTTGTATAATGTTCTAGATAAGCCTTTTAGGAAGGTCTCTCGAGTGGTCGTACCAAGATTGTATCAGAGTACAGCTTTAAGGTTAGCTCATTCGATTCCTGTTGCAGGGCATGGGGGTGTTTTGGTAACCTTAAAGAGATTGGAATTATTTGCATTTTTTCCAAATATGAAGAAGTTAGTAAAGGAATATTGTTCATCCTGCGACGTATGTTTGCGCTGTAAGCCAGGCAAACATATCCCGGTTCCTCTCTTAAGGTACCCTGAAGTTTCAAGGCCTTTTGAGCGTGTCCATATGGATATAGTGGGTCCGTATCCGGAATCTGAAGGGTTTCGTTATATTCTTACAGTAGTAGATGCTTTAACAAAATACCTTGTTGCAGTTCCGGTAAAGTCAAAGGATTTACTAGAAGTCGCAGAGGCATTTATGGATGGATTCATTTACAAAGAGGGGACTCCACGTCAAATCATTTCTGATGGGGGAGGGGAGTTCGTAAATGAACTATTTAAGAACGCAAAGAACACGTAGATACAGGTTGAAATTAGAACTGCCATTAGTAAGGGGCCAGGCCCATAATATAGATAAGGGATATCCAACTGAAGAAAAAATTGAAGAAGAATTTGAGGATGACAGTAGTTTGGGAACTTTGGAAGATCCAGAGAAAAATGTGGATTTGAGAAAAAAAAGGAAAATATTGTGCATATTATTAAGAAGTAGAAGGATGCAAGAAGAACAGATAAGATAATAACCAGGGGTTATATTGTAAAATATTCATACAGTTATTATAAACTAACGAGAGGGCTATATGTACAAAATAACGGGGTTATTCTGAAACTGATGAGTATTAAGTCAGATTGTAGGGATGTCCATGGCTAGAAGAGTTCTCTCTGGGAGGAACTAAATATTGCAGGATTGATAATCAAAGATAATTAATCACCGTACAGATATGTTGCACACCCAAATCATGGAATTTGATAAATTTGCAAGAGAGGCTATTGAAATGGCTGGAGTTACCATTAGCCTGTTATTATTCGGGAGAACGAAATGACGACGGCACTGCACAGAATGGATGAAGCTATTAGGGTTATAGATGTACTGGTGACTGACCTGGGCCAAACTACTAGGAACTACTGGGCTATTCTCCGAGGAGTAGAGGAAAATCAAAATTTAATTTTGGGAGGGCTACGGGAAGTAAATTTACCTTAGGTAGACTTTCGCAAAATTTTATTGACTTGATGCACTCTTATCCGTATTAAATCCTTTAACAAAAGAGGGAGTGTACCTCATAATTGCTCCAAATGAAGAGAACTTACACAGCTTATTTTTCCTTGAATTTAAAACTAATGCCTGGAACTTCTTTGGGAAACTTGATGGTATATCTGACCTTCCCTCTACCAGGCCATTAGATGGAGACTTTCCTGGTCCATGTTTTCCCCAAATCCATCTTGAACTCCAGAGCTTTTATCCATTCCCAGATTTCTGTCGTTGTCCTTCTTGTTTCAGAAGCCAGGGACCTGTTTGTGGAGAAGAGGGACCTTATCGACTGCAAAGAGATTCAGCCGAGA